CTCTCAAAAACAGTGTCTGCGTCGACGCAACGTCGACGTTGCGTTACCGCACCGTATAAATACGTCCGTGTGCACCGAAAAAAGGCAAAGTTTTCAACATTTTTCTTACTTTAGTTTTTTAACCGAAGCGAATTGATATTCTCATTCCTAGCAACCTTCCGTAGGTATTCAATCATAAATTGGCACCCCGTCTCGTAACACCCGTCTTATCAGTACAGGTGATATCTGAACTATAACAGATTGAGAATTTGAAGTTCGCCGGCAGAAGCTACCACGTGCAAGTCAGCGCCGCGCTATCATCACCAAAATATAAGGTTTTTAGTCAAACATCTTCCTAGTATAACGCAATGATGAAGGAAAACAAAAAGTGTTGAAAACTCCGAGGGTTGTATTTTTCCATACCAGATCTCACTCAGTTATTAAATATAATGTGAAATGTGTGCATTGAGTTGCATTAATTAGAATATACACCCTCATTGATATATATAGACATTTAGATATACAGAGTGATCGCAAAACACAACCAATAATTCAGCATACTTCGGTTTTACGTTTTCCCAACATAAAGAACCTTCAACATCTAACACAATTATGAGTTCTCCGTAGAAGGGGTACATATCAATATCTGCCGACTATTCACATATCCAAGAAACTTAGATATGAAACTTTCTAACTATTATTTCTATAATATGTATAATTTACTTTTAGGAACCAAAAACACTGACTGCACTAAATATAATTCTGAAGAACTCCATATAAATAATTTTATACTCAATTTCTTTCATTTTAGCGGAATCTCTGATGTGGATTTTACCCAAACAAATAATTTGTAGAAAGGGCATTTTGTTATTATAGCACATCCCTTCTGAGAATATGTATATACTCAGCTTGAACTTCATATGTTTTGCAAATTTTCCACATCTTAACCAAATCTTATCCAAAAATTTGTTATTATAGCCTTTAATCTACTCGAGACAGGTACATGATAGTCCGCGAACTATAACATGATTGGTTATTATCAGTTCAAAAAAGTCTTTCATTCCTGTTTGATAAAGAGATTTCAAAATCACAATGTCGCGTATAGTGTACACAGAATCTAAAAGAAAAAAATTAAGACAAGAACGCAGGCAAATTCACTTCCGTCAGACAGATAAGCTGTTGTAGTATATGGAAAAAGTTATCAGATATCAGTATTTTGCGGTGTACTAAAGAAAATAGTCCAGAATATAACAAAAATAATTATAATCTTGCATATAAAACTCTGTGTCTCCTGAAAGATATTATTTATGTGAAAAGCTACTCCCAGAAACTGACACCTAAATGAACCACTTATTCAAAAAAATAATATTACATATAGAAATCCAGTTGTAGAGCACAGTCACTGTAATACATGTGACGAATAAGGGTGAATTCTGTATGATATCTTATTATCAGGTTAAGTGCACTTGAGGTAGTCTCTACTAAACAATAAGTGACTTGATATTGAAACGAGGCGTTTATCTATCCTATAGGGACATTTTTTTACAAGACCCCATGTTTTCTTCAATAATTTGTTTTCCGATGTTTAGTTAAATACTGCTAGATCGGTAAAACGTTACATTGTGCGACCCCTCATTCCATTTAAAATATAATGCAAAATGGCGTCCAGCCGGCTTCTTGAAATTTGTGATTGCATCTTTTACGCCTATATATATAGTATTCATTCATCAATTTCATTATCCTAAATTTCAGCTTTCTGACTTGACACTCTCAAAAAATAAGTTGTAGTGAAAAGCACTGTATATTCATTTGTCATTATTTTGATTCGCTCTTGGTACAGGCTGCCGAAGCAGCCGAAACTTCACTAACTAGTATATTCAACATATGTGATTATTATTATTTTTTAACAATGAGATCGCCCCAAGGATGTCGATTGAAAGTTTTATCATAATAACAGTTTCAAGTATACTGCCTCGGTATTCCACTAGTTCGACTAAGACTTTTATACAAAAAAGGTAAAAGAATGAGTATTTAAAACAGCATACGGAATGTGAAAAGTTTTTATGTTCCGCCGATTCCTACAATTGCAAACGATGTACCGCGATCAAATGTGAACAGTGAGTCAAATACTTAAAACTTGACATGAAAGATGCAAACATTTCTTCAGAAGAAATTTCACGCTTTTTTGTTCAGGATTCTACCGTATTTATAGTATTTAAAAAAATACGCAATTTTCTTCAAAATGAGCGTCTGCCAAACTTTTCCCGTGGAATGCAACCTTTTACAGTAGATTTAAATTTAAGCTTTTACTATTGCAGTTAAAACAAATGTATTTTTTGCTGGAGCGGTACAGACGGTCGGAAACATAGGTAAAATTTATAAAACTCTCTTCCATGTCATTAAAACTTCTGGAATTATACTTATAAATCAGCAAAATTCATATAAACGAAACGAAAACATATTGTTCTAGAGTGAGTGGCCATAAGTTTTTTCGAGTAACCGCTCCGGCCAGCCAAAATAATAATCCTTCATACTCTACACTTAAATAGTACCAAATGGGCAAACTTTGAGATAATGAAAATAACCATATATCGATTCCGGAACAAAGGACGTTCGGTAACTTTGGAGTTGTGTTTTATTCCTCGGTCGACGATGGATTGTGGTTATCTTATTAGATTTGTCAAGCTTGACAAAAATTGAATATATTCAGTAATTAGGGGGGCTCAGTGCTGGTCGTAACTTTGATGTTCAGAGATGTATCGGCGATTGAAAACTAATGAGCGGGAAGTGGATTACATCAAAGGGGAGGGGGTGCGCACATATTCACGATTCAGGTCCAGCAAGGTGATTTTCCCACCAAGGTACGGCAATATGTTCTATTTTATGGAAAACAATCAGCCTTTGACGCACACCGCTCCCCCTCTAAGTCTGCCCATGCCCCCAACCAGGACACTCACAGCTTGAAATAGAGTATAGTATAAATTTTTAGAGCATTTCGTTTTACGAGGTCAATAGTCGTACGAGTTGTGGTTTAGCGTAAAATCACATACTACCCCTTTCCATTCCTTAAACCAGATTCGAACTCATTAGAGTGAGAGAAACTCAGATAGCGGCGCCTTTCTAACATGATATCTGTCATATTGCTTGGGAACAATTCAAATGAACGGTACATGCAAAGATTATATGGATACCACATTAACCTATGAATGGAACTACAAAGAATTACGTGGTTGCCAGTGTTTGTGGATTCCACCTTAACCTCGGTCAGTATAGAATATACTTCGTCCTAGCTTACCGCCATCTAGGCCATACCCTCTAGCACTAAAATACACGTTGAAAATCAAATTTCAGTGTCAATTAACCTCCTTCTAATTTTTGTTTTTTGGATTTCACACAATCATAATATGCCACTGAACATGGATGCGACTTGCCCTCTGATGCCACTTGAACCTGGATTTTAGCATGGGCGGATGCCACTTCATACCCAAAAATATATATATATATATTGTATATAACAAAAAATAGGAAAATAATGTGCAAAATCCCCAAGAATAAGGAAGTGGATTCGAGCAGAAAATAGGATAGGTAACCCGAGCGATATGTATTTCTGCATTTTGGCTTCATCAGGCCCGGAAATGAATCTACATATGCAACTACAAAAGTAGATACACAGGCCCATACATTCGGATACGGGTGTAACCTGAGGAAACGAAGATGGAGAGGAAAAAAGTCTCCATCTTCGTTTACTCCGTTATATACCTTTTTCCTTTTCTCTATGTATACGTATATTACAAGATAATTTGAAAACATACTTTGATTTGATTAGAACATGGTGGAAAATGGTTACTTTGACTGCTTGACAGAAACTCTTGAAATATTTGATAAAGTACCGATGTTAGTTTATTTGATGTTTGAGGTGAAGCTATGGACCTATTCTTATGTCAAGCAGTCCCAGGCTATCTCCAGCATATTTTGAACTGAATCAACTACACTGGACTAACGACTCTCTGAATGAAGTGCTAGTTGATGTTTAACATGATATTCATCCAAATTAATTTGACATTGATGAGATTCTAGTCCCGATTTTGCTTTTTATCCACGGGATCTAACTAAAATCTTGATCCGGATCATAATAGACTAACGAGAAGGCGTCTTTCTATTAGTAGATCAAATTAATTTATTCTTTTTCTTCTAACAAATCTGTCAAACCAGCTGCTTTTACATCGATGTTGCACTATAATTCCCCGATGGATTCATCCTCATCAAACTCTGACCGAGACGTGGAGGTTATCGTAGGCGTCGTGCTAGTAGGTCTAGAATTGTTATTACCGGAATCTGAACTATCTGAATTCGAATACACAAAGAAGCACAATAAACAAAGGTTTTCATTTTACTATTTACAGAATTTATGATATTACAGACCTTTCTTTTTGTTGTATAGTTTCTTATCTGATTTCTACCTTTTTTTAAAATTTTTCGAAAGCAATGGCAAAACTCTGTATATTTGACTAAACCAGATAAAGATGAATGACTGTAACCCAGACACATCTTTATTTACCTTCAATGACGACATGCGGATTAGGTACAGCAGCAGAAACATGTGATAATGGAAGAGAATTAAGGAATTTATTGAAATTTTCACCTAATTAACAACCGATAAATACTTTTTTTTATTTTACCAGGTGTTTATTTTAAATTTAGTTCTATCATCTACAAGGTGCGTTTATGTACTTGTTTCGTAACAGCCAATTTACGATGCATTTTTACAAAAACGCTCTCTGATTGGCCTTTGTTGATCCGGATCATGGGTTTTGATTTCCGGATCAAGAGGAAAAATGTGATTTTGTAGGTAAATTAGGTGGTTTATTTATGAAGAATTTTTTATTTAATATGGGGATTAGAGTCCCTCTTACACAAATCGTATATTTGTTCGCTAGTTTGAGAGATATGAATGATCCGGATCAAGAATTTTGATCTCCTATTAGTAAAATCGGACCTAACTTTTCCTAAACCTATTTCAGTTGCATAGTAAATCACACGAAGGTGAAAAATGCTACAAATGCGACCTGTGCCCATACGCGTCGATTTCGGCTCGTCACTTGGAGTCTCACATCCTCATCCACACAGACCAGAAACCCTACCAATGTGACGCTTGTGATCAATCCTTCAGACAGAAGCAGTTGTTACGGCGCCATCAGAACCTCTACCACAATCCGGAATATGTTCCTCCAGCGCCTAGAGAGAAGACGCATGAATGTCCTGAGTGCAGTAGGGCGTTCAGACATAAAGGTAAAAAAACTTCTTAAGGAGGTACACCAGTTAGTCTCTGAAAGAAATTGATTAAATTTTGACACAAGACCTGCAAACAACTTAGTAACGTCTTTAGAAGTAGGTCGGCCGAGCGGTCAGCATGCCGTTTGTCAGAACAAGTGAATACATGAGTTATGCTACATATTTTAACATACTCTACCTGCTGGAAACGACGGATAAATAAATTGGAATACAAAGGCGACTTGGTGCTGAAGATTAAATTATTCATAAGTATTTTCACAAATACATATTTCGTCCAACATTAGGTGTGTGCATGAATGTTTCTTTTTGCCTAGTAGATGTGCATAAACAATACTGGGCTTATTATCTGTAGAAAACTGCACCATTGCAAAGGAATAATACGACCCTGTTTTCAACTAAATTTTATCATTTGATTACTACAAAGAGCAAACTTGTATATTGCGTAAAATAACTATAAAGAATCCGATACAAAATGTTGTGTCTAGATCGCTTGCACTGACTGTCACTATCCATGTTTCCATATACTGGCGGCTGCAGTCATACTAATTTCCTTCTTCACCAAAGAAGTCTATGAGTGGCTCTAATCCTGATAGCTAGCTGGCATTCTCCTGTTCCTCGGTGGATTTCTTCTAGGAGTTGAGTGTCTAGGTAGTGGATGATCATCTTCGGCTTCACTGCACGCACAAGGTCTCTCCAGTGGATTCTTATTGAACAGAAATGGTGTCGCCTACATCTCTAAGTCTGGTAAACTTATATCTGCTGAGTTGTAGGTATCAGATCACTCCAGAATTCGGTTTTCTTCTGATCTTTCTGGAACGCCAGGTTCTTCTTCCTGTGGCGTGCTACATTTCCGCTCTCGCAAATGTTTGCTATGCCTTCGACAGTGATTCCCATGGATGTCTTCGGTATCAGACTGTGTCCTCGTTTGCTTTACGATTTTCCCGGGAACTGAACATTTTCCAATTTTCTCATCCACCCAAACTTCCTATTCGAAAATCCTGTTTGTTCTGTCATGGTGATGTTTTTGTATAATCTGTTCATTTGTCTTGGAGTCCGCTTGGTTGGTCGTCGTCCGGTATTTCTATATGAAAATAAGAATATTGCCCGACTTCGGGATACAGTTAAATTTTGGTCACCATAAGCTAGCTTTTCTTTGAAGGTTGCCACTGTTTTTTCAGCTCTCCCATTTGATTTTGGATGGTATGGAGTTACCTTCATTGTAACACGTCATTTTCTCGACTTAACTTTCAAAGTCTTTCAAATGATTTGTGGGAATCTATCTGTAACCAGAAAACGTGCAAATGTTGCTTCTAACGCTTCTGTTGTAGTAGATCAAGTGGAATTATCTCCATCTAATGAGTCTAAGAACGGATCAATACAAACTACATTCTATTTTTATAAGGTCCAAATGAATGCATGACCGAAACTCCGGTGATACCAAGGGTACAGGGAAGTACCTACTTTGGTTGCCTTGAAGTATGGCATGGCTGCTTGTTGTCTTGAACTATGGCATGGATGCACTTACCGACCCCTTATTCAATGTCTTGCTCTATTCTAATCCAGTAAAAAATGTAAGTGAGCCTCTGTAGCTCGGTGGTTGGCGCGTCGAGCAAGCAACGCGCGGCTTACGGGTTCGAATCTCCGCCTCGGAAGTCAAATTCGCGCCTTAGATGTTGTGTATGTCATGTCTAGATGAAATATTAACGATATGCTTATTACGTTGTCGGCAAAAAGGGTCAAAGGTGGCCTAGTTGCCAGGCTTCGCCTCCCCACAACTACTACTATTACTACATGTGATTTTGCCAAAGATTGTATTGATGTAATTCCAGGATGGCTATGATGTAGCATAGCTATAATTTCAGGTTGCAGAGATATAGGTACACAGAGCAGTATATCTTCTTTGAAAGATATCTCTGCTCTTTTCTCCTAGAGCGAGCTGAGATCGCTTTTAAATAGGCGTCTTCCATACTCGCTGATGAAGTAGCGGGCATGACTTGATATGGCGATTTTCCTGGACGACGTAAGCAGTGGGAACCTGGATAATAAATCGGCTGAACAATTTTGATTTTCTGAATGGAATGGTATATCATGTAATAAAATTAAACAGGGTCTACTGACCCTCAACCAAACACCCATTCTTGATAGAATCTAACTTTATTTTGGCTGGCCGTATCCGGATGTGTGGGCATGTGTATCTACTTTTGTAGTTGCATATGTGCGTTCATTTCGGGCCTGATGAAGCCAACCAGCAGAAATACGTATCGCTCGGGTTACCTATCCTATTTTCTGCTCGAATCCACTTTCCTCCTTTTTGCGGATTTTGCCCATTATTTTCCTACTTTTTGTTATATACCTTTCTCCGCATGATCATTTTCTTTTTGTAGATCCTTTGGGCTTGAAGTATCACAGCAAGTGGCTATAACCGGCCGGGTGGTTGTGGTTAGATGTCTCTTTGAAAATTCGAGGTCTTCTAGCCATTTTATACTACAATGTGGAGGTTGGCTCTTGTTGTGGACTTCGTGTGCTATTTTTTCCTCTCCATCTTCGTTCCCTCAGGTTACACTCGTATCCGGATGTGTGAGCATGTGTACCTACTTTTCTAGTTGCATATGTGCATTCATTTCGGGCCTGATGAAGCCAACCAGCAGAAATACGTATCTCTCGGGTTACCTATCCTATTTTCTGTTCGAATCCAGTTTCCTCCTTTTTGCGGATTTTGACCATTATTTTCTTACTTTCTGTTATATACCTTTTTCCGCACGATCATTTTCTTTATATATATATATATATATATATATATATATATATATATATATACATATAGATGAAGACAAAATTTTGCAAAAGTACACTCTTTTAACTTAAACTCAAGCTTTCGACGGTCTATGCCATCATCATCGGGAGTAAGTCGGCGAGATTGTTGCTGCTCTAAACGTTTGTTCTTGGAAATGTCACACATTTTCATGACAGACGGTTGTATGAACAAAAAGGCCGATGTCAAGCAATTTAGTGTCATCTACTCATATTTGCTAAATTGCGAAAGATTGGAACGATTACACATATCTCCCGATATTGATTTATAACAATAACAAGTATAACAATTCAATAGATAAATTCAACAATTTAAAAAAAAAAGTAATTTGTTTCCCCCCCCCTTTTCAGCATGACAGGTCTTTGACAACATCAACCAATTTTGCCAAGTGGTAACTCTTGAATTCCATCAAAATATAGTTTTTCAGAATCAATCTGAAATTTCTCTATCGCGTTTTGCACTTGGAAGTAACGCTCCTCTTAAGAAGGTATTACACACTTTCTGCTTTAGGTTAGTAACAGACTAAACAAATAGAATTGATCCCCACCACAACTGCCTGCAAATAGTACCACCATCACACATAAATCCTAACCTCTCGACCACACCAATAATTCTAGGTTAGCCCAAGATGTGAGTTTTCAAGGAATTTTATTCAGTCAACAATGTTTGTCCCAATCCAACCATAATTTATCACTAAAACATACTTATGTTCTCCACCGTTTTTAAAAAAGTATCCGCGTAATCCAGTTCTTATCATCTTGCCATGGGTTCCCAAATACAATTTAAAACATAAAACACTAGCACCAATCTCATTGACGGAGTAATTAAATGCATGGTTTGCTATTTACTATTTTCAATTTTATTTTTAGCTCCTGCGTAGCCTGTCGAAAGCTTGAGTATTTGTAAGTCAACAGGGTACACTTAGCTTAATTTGTCGATATCTCCAAAGACATGTATATATATATATATATATCTACAGAGTGTCCCATCCATGTGTGGACGGAATATTACTCATAAACAAATACATTTTGGGAAAACCTATTTATGGCATGTTATACATGACATTTGTGTGAACATTTCTAAAATATTGGCAATTATACAGGGTGTCCCAATTTTTACCTTCATATCAAAGTTGTGATTTTTTAAGTGGAATGCCTCAAATTTTATTGCATATTTGGATAAACCAATCCAAAAGAAGAAGATTGATATAACATAGTATGGGGTTTTGGTAATTAGCTACTGAGATGTAAGGTGTTGTGTCCAGAAAAACCGTCCACTTCGGCAACCCCTCAATCCGCCATTTTGAAATTTGGAGTGCTGGATTTTGAATCAAAAAAAACTTTTGACGGTTTGGAACTAATCAAGAATTTATTTGTTTCCAAGGATGATGCGATATTTTTGCCGTTCCATGAAAGACGTGCTAATAACCGAAAAAATAGCCGTAAAAGCCCTTATGTGTCTAGTATCAAAAAAAAGCTTATATAAAATTGAATCCAAACTTGTACAAATATACAGGGTGATGTATTTGAAATTTTTGAGAAAAACTACAATTTGCGTTTTTGACTACCCTGTATGAGCAAAAATTAAAATTCTAAAAATTAACAAATAAGATAAAAGCTGATGTGTGTAAGTTTCTTTTTATACAAAATTCAGCACTAAAAATTTAAAATGGCGGACTGAAGGGTTGCCGAAGTGGGGTTTTTTTTCTAGACAAAACACCTTATATCTCAGTAGCCAATTAAAAAAACCCCATAATATGTCATATCAATATGCTATAAAATTTGAGGCATTTCATTTGAAAAATCACAACTTTGATATGTAGGTCGAAATTGGGACAATATTATATATGGCCAATATTTTATAAATGTGCCCTCAAATATCATGTATAACATCCCATAAATATATTTTCCCAAAATGTATTTGTTTATGAGTAATATTCCTTATAAGTATATTCCAATATTTTGCCAAACTCTAATGATACAAGTAATAGTCTCACAACCCCTAATAACAGAACTGATAGAATTCCCAACAACAACACCAATTCAAACAGTACAACCACCATCCCAAATTCCAGATCTGGCTTTGCTGTCCTACCCTATATCAAGGAACTGACCCCTAAGCTGATCAGATTATGCAGTCCATTGAACTGTCGATTGCTTGCAAATCCGTCCTCACTATAAACTGCATTTTTTTCAAAAATTAAAGACAGAGTCCCGCTGCTTGGCTTAACCAACACAGTCTACTCTATCAATTGCAACCAAATATACATAGGTCAGACCTCCAGATCTCTTAAAGGAAGGATTACATCACACAAAAGTGATTCTAGGCTTCATCCTGAAAGATGTGCTCTAGCATCTCATGTCAACACAACAGGGCACTCTATGAACTACACAAGTATCCTGGAAATGTCCCATATTTTCATGAATGACAACTGTATCAATAAGAAGACAGATGTTAAGCAACTGAGTGTCATTTACTCATATTTGCTAAACTGCGAAAAATTGGAGCACTTACACATCTCCCCAAATTTTGACTCTTCACAACCATAAATGGAATCTGTTTCTTGATCTATTCCACCAATAAACTTCATTCCATAAAAAAATTTTAATAACTTTTTCCTCACAATTAAATAATAACTGTTAATTTAATTGCCCATTAATAAAATACAGTCAATGCAACTACCTATGGTCGGTTTGACAATTTCTTACCTAACACATTTTGAAAATCACATCATCTGAAGTGATTTGGCAACGTAGCACACGCCCACAAAAGAATTCATTCCATCATTCTACACAGACACTGATAACCTTCGGCCATCTGTCAAAGGGTTCATCTTACTCATTATTCCATACCCACCATTTTGTGCAATCAAGTGGCTACACGATGTAATGCTTTCAAAATTTTTAATCTGTTTTTAACTTGTTCTTGTCACACAGTTGTGTGTATTTTATATAATTTTGACCATTGTACCATTTATCCAGCTTTCACCATGTTACTGGGTGTTTCCCTCATCCTGAACGTAAACATCATTTTGCAACATCCTCACATACTATTGTAAGTTAAGTTAATTTAAATTCATTTTACACTATTGTTGCTACTGTTATCAATGTAATTGCAGCTCCTGATGATGATGGCAAAGTCCATTGAAAGCTAGAGAGAATAAAAAAGTATAAAGAGTCCTCCTTGCTTAAAATTTTTTGTCGAAGTACCCAACAAAAGGCGGAAGCTTTAATTTTTCACCTATATATATATGAGCGGTAGTCATTGCCAAAGCCAATGACCAGTTGGGTACAAAATACAATTAATTGTTAATTGGGAAATTGGCAAAACTCTTAGCCTTAAGTTGACTCTTTTGACGATAAAATCAAGCATTCTCTATGGAGCCTTCATCAGGATTCTGAAAACACAATTGTGATGCTAGCAAAGAAAACAGGACAGATTTAAATTGTCAGACAACTTACTCGTCGGTGAGGTTGCAGCCACAAGGTGTTTCAGAACGAACGTAGAGAAGATCGAAATTATAATCAGTATAAAAACAAAGGGACGGGGACTTTGGGTTTGTTGTAAAACGACAGATACCTTCGTTAAATGTTAAAAATATCAATCCACCCGAACAAGTTAAAAAGTTTATAAAGAAAAAAGACTCTCAAAACGTTTATTTTTAGAAATGTCCCACATTTTCATGACAGATCATTGCATGAATAAAAAGGCTGATGTCAAGCAAATCAGTGTCATTTATTCCTACCTGTTGAATTGCGAAAAGCTAGAACGGCTACATATCCAAATTGAACCAACATCTTCACAAAATTGGAATACATTTTCTCACTCACATTTTTAATATAACCTCACATAACCCATCTTTTCAATGTTGTATCAATATCACACATTCTTACACTCATATGAACTACACAATTTTTTTCAAGACAAGTTAATTCAGCATTTTAGTAATTTTGGGTGGAGGTTTACCGAGCGTCCCTCGTATACTTGGTACCCAAAGCTGGACAGGGAGGTTTACAGTTCCACGGTCCGTCGCGTCAATCACTGTCGTCTGTCGACGCTTTATCTTTCCGTGCCGCCCCCCTCTCCACGTGTTGCGGATACAGAAGGTTAGAGACTGCATTCCGATTGTTTCAACAAAATGTCGTCTCACGTGTAATATTTTTAACTTGTTCGGGTGGATTGATATTTTTAACATTCAACGAAGGTATCTGTCGTTTTACAACAAACCCAATGTCCCCGTCCTTTTGTTTTTATACTGATTATAATTTCGATCTTCTCTACGTACGAGTAAGTTGTCTGACAATTTAAATCTGTCCCGTTTTGTTTGCTAGCATCACAATTGTGTTTTCAGAATCCTGATGAAGGCTCCATAGAGAATGCCGAAAGCTTGATTTTATCGTCAAAAGAGTCAACTTAAGTTTAAGAGTTTTGCCAATTTCCCAATTAACAATTAATTGTATTATATGTATCTTAATGCTTTTATCTTAGGATAGACTCAAAATTAGGATGTATAGCATCAAAATCATGATAGTTATTTAAAACCCGCAAAACGTAACATAAACTGCTTAACCTACTTTCTGTTTTTTTTTCCCATACGTTCTGACCTATTTTCTCTGTCAAACCTATTTTGGTAGGTAGAATATTTGCCGTGTTTGGACTTAAAAATCCTGATATATGTTTTTTCTGCATTTAGCACTAATTGGTTTTTTGCGAACCATTCCGAAACGTTTTGTACAGTTACCAGAATACTAGTATCATCTGCATATTAATGCTTCAGAGGAATAAACAAGATCTAATGACAATAACTGTAAATAAAAGAAGTCCAAGGATACTATTTTGAGGGATGGCCACTGATCTATGAATCTCCATTGATTTAGCTCTATTACCATTATCAATACTCTCATTTTTTGCTTGCGTTGTGAGGGATAAGATCTACCACACTTTAGAAGGCTTCCGCTTAAAACCATAATTTTCCAGCTTGGTTAAGGTCGCATCTCCACTTCTTTCGCTTTTTTAACTTTTCTAATTGCTCTCCCGGATATTTTAAACGGGAGGCGGGATGCTATTGAAATATTAGAGCGCCGATCGAGCAAGTGATTAAAATGGACATGTTTGCTTTTCGTCTCTGTAACCACGACCAACTGCAGACAGCGCTATTTTGTGATCATTAGCAACTCATCGGTGCGGTATAGGTCTATTAGTACTGGAGACAGATGAACGGAAATCAAACAAGTGGGTATGGTCAAAATACTGTACGGAGGTAGGTGAACAATCTGACGATCTTCAACATCAATGGTTTGCCAAGCTGATCTTCATCATCATCCCGTACGATGAAAGCTGACGATAGTAGGAAGTGTATTGATGTTGATTGATGTAGCTACGTTGGAAGTGTATCAGGTCCGGAGTATAGCGATCCTACTGTATGAAATCTATAGGCGTAGGAATAAATCTTGAATCTGTCTTTCAGGCAACCTAATCAGGCACATGGCTCTACACGACCCCGACCCAGACATCCATCGCAAGCAGATGGAGCTGAAACTGGGCAGGCAGAAGAAAATTCAAATGATAGACGGTCAACAGGTAGAAGTCGTACCGGGAGGGGGACCGATGTGCGCAATGAACAGCGAAGGCGAAGAGGAAGAAGAGGAGGATGAGATCGACATGATGGCCGTGGAAGGGGCCGACGGGCAGCAGTACGTCGTGCTGGAGGTGATACAGCTGGCGGATGGCGAGGAAAGGACTATGGTTGTCAGCGGCGGCGGGGCAGACGGTACCACCGCTGCTGCCGAGTTGCTTGGAGAAGGCGTATTGGATGAGACCGGTTAGTGTTTAGATGCTGAGTCATTCTTATTTTCAGTTACAAGAAAAAAATTGATTGGTTGTTATGCTTTCCGTTTCATTCCTATTCTTTGAAAACTTCGAATCCATGTGATGACGGAATATTGTTTACAAACAGAAACTTTTTAAAGAAAACTGTCGGTTAATATACATAGTAGCTAGGGGCACATTTGGGTTAAGTGGAAGAGCGGCTGTCAAGCTGAACTTCGCCCGTCCAAATAAAGGTCATTATCATTTTTGTGTTATTTCTACAATACTCAGTTATATGGTGTCTCATTTGCGTTCCACATATCAGAATTGATTTTTTAAAATGGATTAGTATAATATATTTTATTACATATTTGAACAAGGATATTGATATAACATACTTTTGAATATTAGTTATCTAAAAATACCTACTAAAGTTTGATACCCTGCACGTCTAATATCTTATAAGTAGGAGTAGTGAATTTAATTTTGTGTCAAAATGTTTTATCATCCTGAATTTTAACAATTCAGCAGCTTTTTGATTATATTGATTGATCAATATTCAGTTTATTTCAATATGTTGGATCCACTTTTACAAGTTTTGGTTTGACATAAAGGTCATGCTCAAATCGTATTAGATGAACGTTTCCCTGATTTGCGAAATAATTGTAACGTTTGGTTTTATTGATAGAGTTGGTCAGGGGGTAACATCCGAAATTTTGTTTGTAATAATTTGCTTAAGCTTTCCATTCGCGGTCAAAGTACATAGGTACCTCAGAGGATGCTTTTAAAATTGAGTGGGCTAACTCACAGTTTTCATACTGTGGAGCGCAGATGCTCATTCAATCAACAGTGTAGAAATGTTTGAATAGTTTGTATTTTTTTGTTTTCTGGCAGCATAACGCAAAGGTATATTGCCTTGTAAAGGCGATAGATCTTAAATGATATTTTGTAAGGTTTCAACAGTTGAAATGAAATAGACTGAATAAAATTATTAGGAACAATTTTTTAACACGAAATCATGCTCATACCGTTTCTCTCTTATGGAAAGCAGTTATTTTAACAAAAGAAATTCTAACTTCAACATTAGCTAGCTGTCTTTTGAGGAAAACGTAGAATCTGTCTACAATAGTGTTGAGGTTACTCTATTTATTGATTAAATTAAAAATAATATTGCTTTGACAAGTAGAAGAAACGTTTGTAAAATCTTATTTGTTTCCTAACCAACCACTTTACGTGGACGCTAAATCAACGATTGGTTCCAGTTCACCCAAAAACTTGCAATTCAGATGCCTTTTAACGATTGTTCGTGGATGCGTAGTCATACGCATGGAATAGACGTCATTACCCGGGTTACACCCGTATCCGTATGTAGTTGCATATGTGCATTCATTTTGGGCCTGATGAAGCCAACAAGCAGAAATGCGTATTGCCGGGTTATCTATCCTATTTTCTGCGCGAAAACACTAATTTTTTTGAGGATAAAAAGTCATACGTATGGAATAGACGACAGTGCTTTCGACATTCAAGCTGCGTACCGAATATTATTTAGAAGCTCCACATCAAAAGGGTAATACAAATAACGTGAAACAAAGGATCAATTTCATATGCAAGCTATCCCTCTAAGGTAACAGATGAATGAAAACAAATCGTGCAGCTAGTGTATTCCTCATAATATGATTCCACTCATTGGCCACTTTAGAGAGATGGCTCAGAAACACAACTATGTGATATAGTAGAAATCATATTTGGTTAATGTAACATATGTCATTTATCATGTGGTTTTCATGTCGATAATCCTCCATGTTTGTCTGGCCATTGAAACTGCATGTATTTAAAATTCTTCTCTAATATGTACGATGGACGAGGGTACCGTAGTAATGGATCTAATATGGTCGATTTCTATTAAACTGTCTCTGAATCTAGAAAACAATTATACGATTTGTGTAAGATAAAGCAAACAAGCAGAAATACGTATCACTCGGGTTACCTATCCGATTTTCTGCTCGAATCCACTTTCCTCTTTTTTTTGCGGATTTTGCCCATTATTTTCCTACTTTTGGTTATACACCTTTCTCCGTATGATCATTTTCTCACTCTCTCTTTCTATATATATATATATATATATATAGGTGAAAAATTAAAGCTTCCGCCTTTTGTTGGGTACTTCGACAAAATTTAAGCAAAGAGGACTCTTTATACTTTTTTAATTCTCTCTAGCTTTCAATGGACTTTGCCATCATCATCAGGAGCTGCAATTACAATGATAACAGAAGCAACAATAGTGTAAAATGAATTTAAATTGACTCAACTTACAGTAGTATGTGAGGATGTTGCTAATTGTTGTTTACGAATAGAATGAGGGAAACGTCCAGTAACATGGTGAGAGCTGGATAGATGGTACAATGGTCAAAATTATATAAAATATGACAAGAACAAGTTAAAAACAGATTAAAAATTATTTAAAAACATTAAAGCATTACATCGTGAAGCCACTTGATGATTGCACAAAATGGTGGTCATGGAATATTGAGTGAGATGAACCCTTTGACAGAAGGCCGAAGGTTGTCAATGTCTGTGTAGAAAGATGGAACGAATTGTGGGCGTGTGCCAACATTGCCAAATCACTTCAGATGATGTGATTTTCAGAATGTTATGTAAGAAATTGTTAAACCGACCAGAGGCAGTTGAATAAACTATATTTTAATTAATGGTAAATTAAATTAACAATTATTATTAAATCGTGAGAAGAGAATTATTAGAATTTGAGTGGAATGAAATTTACTGGTGGAATCGACCAAGATACAGATTCTATTTATGGTTGTGAAGAGTCAAAATTTGTGGAGATATGTAAGTTCTCCAATTTTTCGCAGTTTAGCAAATATGAGTAAATGACACTCAGTTGTTTAACATCTGTCTTTTTATTGATACAGTTGTTATTCATGAAAATGTGGGACATTTCCAGGAATAAACGTTTGGAAAACACCACCAGTAAATTTCATTCCACTCAAATTCTAATAATTCTCTTCTCACGATCTAATAATAATTGTTAATTTAATTTCCCATTAATTAAACTATAGTTTATTCAACTGCCTCTGGCCGGTTTAACAATTTCTTACATAACATTCTGAAAATCACATCATCTGAAGTGATTTGGCAACGTTGGCACACGCCCACAATTCGTTCCATCGTTCTACACAGACATTGACAACCTTCGGCCTTGTGTCAAAAGGTTCATCTCACTCATTATTCCATGACCACCATTTTGTGCAATCATCAAGTGGCTTCACGATGTAATGCTTTAATGTTTTTAAATAATTTTTAATCTGTTTTTAACTTGTTCTTGTCATATTTTATATAATTTTGACCATTGTACCATCTATCCAGCTCTCACCATGTTACTGGACGTTTCCCTCATCCTATACGTAAACAACAATTAGCAACATCCTCACATACTACTGTAAGTTGAGTCAATTTAAATTCATTTTACACTATTGTTGCTACTGTTATCATTGTAATTGCAGCTCCTGATGATGATGGCAAAGTCCATTGAAAGCTAGAGGGAATTAAAAAAGTATAAAGAGTCCTCTTTGCTTAAATTTTGTCGAAGTACCCAACAAAAGGCGGAAGCTTTAATTTTTCACCTAACTGGTCTAGACGACAATGACCACGTCTCAAGTTATATATATATATATATATATATATATATATATATATATGGGCGGGCCATCGATCTAGTTCTTTTCTACCGCTATATCAACGGGCTTTGCTCCTCAGAGCTCTCGTCCATGATGCCGTCACGCGATGTGTCTGCCAGACAGACCCCCTTGACTTTGGTGTCCCATCCTAACCGTGTCGGACTTCGTAGATCCAGAACTGGCCGATACGACCGCTCCTTAGTCCCGAGGGTGTCGAGATTGTGGAACAATCTACAAGAGGAAGCTTTTCCCAGTTCTACTTACCTTACTTAGGCAGTTCAAAAATCGTATTAACAAAATTTCTTTGGGATCATCATAGCAGCCGCGGTGTTCCGGCATTTAGGCTTCTACCTGCGCGGCTGCTTCGATATAAAAAAACTAAAAAAAAAACCTTTGATATTCGTTATACTCCGGAATCTTCATACATACATGAGACATCTGAATTCAAAATAGAAAATTAGGATAAGGGCTTTATCCCATTTTATGTCTATAACACGGCTCATCAAAGTATGGCAAATGTAGATTCAAATTACTTAACACGATAAATCAGTTGATTCGTTTTTATGATATGTATGTAAAATACATATATTTTGCTTCGGGAACGACAAGCATGTGGTTATACTAGCGAAGGATACACTCAAAAAATGTCAGTTCAAATTTTAGTTATGAAGGTAACCATACATAACAGAATATATATGTTGAAAAAATAAAACCACTAATACCAGAACAGAAGGTTTGGGATGTACCATACTAAAGATTCAGAAAAAATAGTGACATTCGTCAGATTTAATTTGACATTACCTCATTGTTCAAGCAACAACGGTTTTACAATGAGATGAAGGGAATTCTGTTTAAAAACGTAAATTTTATCACAAAAGTATGACAATGTTCGCACTTAACAAAATAATTGTCATTAAAATTCAAATATTCGTTGAGTCATGACATCAGCTTTCACGGAAAAATGTCTCAATGTTTGGGAAAGTTAGAAACCTGATGCTACTAGATCAGGGTTGTATAGCGTTCAGAATGCCATACCATACAGCCCTAAAAAAGCACCAGTCGACATTTTCTCTTTATTTTATCTTTAACAAAAAAGTTTAAACATTTCTTAGTGAAAGGCGATTGGAATGATTCATGAATAAATGGTGAATCTGATTATGTTGTTGAGTAGAAAAATGGTTATACTTTATAGTTTGTGATACAATTTATGTTCATAATTAACTTCTACTTTATTGAACGATGTAATAATTTAGTATAACGCGCGATGGGGGGCCTTTTAGCCTAAATGTGATGTTGAAAGTGAGCTAAGACTACCTTT